ATTGTGTGTGTGTGTGTGTGTGTGTGTGTGTGTGTGTGTGTGTGTCATTTTTGTTGCCTAAAAGTCACATTATTTTCAAGTTTACAATATTCAAATTAGATATCTATTCAATTTAAATTGATACTTCTAGTACAGTTAATTCTTCTAGTCTACTTCTAGTTACAGTCTAATTCTAGTCATATTGTTAATGTTAAGAAAAAATGATAAAGTGTTTTAATATTTATAAATATTATTCTTTATTCTTTATTCATAGATTGTGCTATTGAGAAATTGCCATTAAGAAAAAGAGATGGAGCAAGAGTAATCGATGGCAGTAAGCATGCTCACAAAATGACTTCAGAACGAGATGAGATTGTATTTCTCAAGCGTCCAGAGGGAATTGAAAAACAATATAGACAAAAGTGTAAAAAGTACTATTTTACATTTATTACTATTTTATATTTATTGCATTTGAACTCTTTATTACTAATTAAGATATTATTCATGCCTATTAATAATATTTGGATATATTATAATAATTTATGACAAAAATATTTTGTAAGAAAGAAAAAAAATAATATGTATTTTAATATAATTTTTATTTGACAGATGCGGTTTATTGCTGTACTATAAACACGAGCCAGGAGCAAATATAGTATTTATAATGAAAGATTCAGTAATAAAAAGTTCTGGAGAGGGTCCTATGACAGACATTTATAATCAAGTAGCCATTGAAAAACCTAAAAAATAATGGTTACAAAACATACCAAAAATATGGGCAAATTCAGTTCGGTTACTGTATCTACAATCGATGAAGAAGAAGACGAAATTGAAGCTGTAAGTCATTCATATTGTATGCTATATGTGTATAATTTAAAATTTATTATAACACATTTCAAAAAAAACGAAAATACAAAATAAAGCAATAACTGTGACAAAATAAAAAAAACAAACACGAAAATTTCTATATATTCTTTAAAATTTTTCTATATATTCTCTAAAATCTAATCAATTATCAGGATTGATAAAGTTACTTTTTAAAAAGTAACTTGTTACCGAATCAAAAAAGTAACTCGTTATCGTTATTGTTAATGTTACTTAAAAAGGAACGATTAATTTTTCCGTTACTTTTAATACCAAAAAAAATTTTAATGCTAAAACGAGATAAGATTAAATAAAAAATAAATTTTTTCATATTTTTTTGTTAAATTATTAAGTTTTGTTAAATTATTAGTATAAAAATAATAAAACTTTTTATCTTACATTTGCAAGATTAAAAAATTTAAAAAGATTTTAAAATACTTAAAATGCAAGTACAAAAGATGTAGTTTTCATTTAATTCATAAATAACAAGTTTACACTTTTTTCTATCTTCAATTTTCTGTTTTAAATTTTTAAAAGGCGGTATTTATAAAATCTATTTCTATGATTGATTTATGATAAACTATTCTTAAAATTATTTTTAAGAGTTTTAAATGTACAACAGATTATTGATTGAAGATTGAACATTAAATATACAGAAATCATGTCATAGATTAAATATAAATATAAATATATAAATATATATGAATATATATGAATATATATAATTATATATTTATATATAAATACATAAATACATAAATATAAAAATATAAAAAGTAATGATGAAAGCAACTGTTAAATTCATTATTGTTATTGAAAAAATGTAACTACGTTACCGTTATAATTACTAAAAGAAAAAGTAACGCCGTTATTACTCCATTATCAAATAAAAATAACTGTAACGCATTACTTCCCAACTCCATCAATTACACATGTGAATATACATTCATGCCTGCTACTAGTTCCCCCCCCCCGCACGCGCGCGCGCACGCTCTCTCTCTCTCTCTCTCTCTCTCTCTCTTAGTTCATGATGCATTCTCTTTTTAATTATATTTTTCACTTTCTTAAAATAAATGGCTTTTATAAGAAAAATATTTTCAGAGGGAAGTTGCTGACTCGTATGCAAACAATGCACGCATCATAGAAAAACAATTAGAAAGAAAAGGTATGAATAAACGAAAAACTATACCATCTACTGAAACGGATTCAAAACGAGCAAGACCTAGAGGAACGTTACTCGATGTCTGATTTCTTGCCACAAAGCAATTGTAATTATGTGTATTAATTTATTATCTTTTATATATTTATAATTATAAATAAATTGATTTATTTATATATCATAGCACATAAAAAATTGCTTTTGTACTTTCAAGCATTTTCAGAAAAATTACGATGTAATAATTTTTATGTATTTCAAAATTTATCGAAAAAGTTACCAATCTTTTTCTTCGGGACAATATATCTTTTATAGAAATAATTTACTTTTCTAAAAGCACAATAAACAAATTTATTCTTGTATCGACATCTTTATTAACATTACACAAAAGATAAATCTTTAAAATATATAAATGACTAGATACAAATATTGCATAAAAATGTACATTGCAAAATAGAAACAGAAGTTTAACAAATAAATACATCAGTTACATATAATTCATCGATAAATAACTGCAAGCAAAGGAGATTCAATATATTCCTGCTCGCACTTGGAATTAGTTCATATCATGGCAATCTCAATTAGTAGTAACCAAATAGCATCTAATAAAACCGTTATTTGGTTGTTTGAAAGTAATTTGAATTGATATGGCATATTTACGTGGTACAATGGAAGCCTAATGGACACCTACCTAAACAAATCATATCACTGGCCATGTTTTTTTATCTACATGTAAAGATGAATTAAGACGTTGCAGTACTATGGAACATTAATGTGTACATTTAATCAAGATCTTGTATTCATTTAAGTACATGTCCGTCAATTATTTTTCTTTCTATCTGCTGCTGCTGCTGCTAATATATGTGTGTACGTGTGTGTGTGTGTGTAGTATATATATATATATATATATATGCATGTATGTATAGTAAACTTACTAATTTATTTACTAAGTTGTCGACTAATATAGTGTATATTAAAATATATTAATAATCTCTTATTAACTAACTTTAATTAAATTTTTTAAATAATTATTTCTTCTTCTTATATATTAGTAATTACTAATATATATATATATATATATATATATATATATATATATATATATATATATATATACAGACACACTTTTTTTTTTAAGGGTAACTAGTATATTTGATTAGTGACATTTTACGACATTATCACATTAGAAAAGCAAGATGAAAAATTGTTTACATAAAATTTGAAAATTCTATCATTTAAATAATCATTCTTAGCGTCACAAGATAATAATAGCATATTTTCTATTCAATCGATAAATGCAGCTTAAGGATATTTTTAACGATAATCCTATATGCTTCCTTAAAATTATATTTCGCTATCTTACATAATACGATTCCTCTAATGGAATTATCACGTTCGCACTTTTTTACTAGCGACATTCCTTCATTAATCACGATTTATAACGATGCTCGTACTTAATGCATTATCGATGTTAAGTTTCTTTTTTATTAAATACATGGTCAATGGAAATACATTAATATATATACAGACCATAAAATATTCATAATTACAAACGTTAATAACAATAATTTCAAATAACTTTTATAAAAAAAGAAATAATTATGTGAAGCTACATGTATAAACATGTATGTATAATAATTTTAAAGATGTTATTATATCTTTAAAATCAATTTTTTTTAATGTTATAAAATGATTAAGGTATAATATCAGCAGACAGAAACGAATATTGCATCGACAATGCATATTCTATCGATAGAATTATTAATAGCATTAAGTATTAATTTGCGACGATTTAATGTCCACTTTCTTAAGTATCGTAGGTTCATCTTTAAGAAACGTGCCAGATCTCGAACCTACTGTAGGTTGTTTTTGTATCTCAACATTATGGCACTTTTTAATCTTGTCGTCGACTTTACTGACAATTCTCTTGCTAGTAATAACTGATTTGATCATCTTATTGCCAATGCTAGACTTTGGAGAGGATTTCTTACTAGGGCTATCAGAACTCTGTGAATTTTGAATCTCTTTTTTTTCTCTTCTCGTATTAGGAGGAACATTTGCCTGCGTGATCTGTCGCGTTTTGAAAGGAGCTACCGTGTTAACCGGTTTACTAAGGACGTCTGGTGTCCTTGCAGCATCCAGTAAACTTCTGCGTAAATTCGGTGAACCATGATATGTGCTACTGATAGCAGCGGCTCTACTGCGACTAGCAGCGGTAGAACTTTCCAATGATCTCGGAGATCTTTTAGCGATCGTTAATGGACTTCTCTGTTGCGTTGGCGGCGAGCTTTTTTTCATCCTGCTATTTACAAATAAATGATAAATGTAACGATTGACATACGAATCAAAGGCTATATGTATTAAAATAAAATCGCAATAGTTAATAGAATGGCATGGCAACGAATCATAAAAGTGTTTCGAATCAAAGAATTTAAAAAATTAATAAAAGCTAATAATATTAAATTTCATCTTACCTATCATACGTTTGCGTTTTGCTCGCTTTCGCCAAAATAGGTGATAATTTATTGGATACATTGGACTTTGGAGTAGTTGTTATCTCCGTCATGAGACTGTCGGTGGACATAGATGTATCCATCTTGTTAATTTTCTTTTTGATAGTAACCGGCTTACTTTTGGTTTCTAAAGAATCGATCGATAAACCTATTTCAGTGCTTTTTTGTTTAAAAGAAGGCGATTCGGGTCTTGTGATAGCGCAACTTTTACTAATCAAATCCTTCTTATTGCCAGTCCGACCTGCATTTGCATTTGCCTCCGTTAAACTATCGGATGAGAGAGCTTTTACATCTTTTTTGACTGGTAACTTCATTTTTGATAGTGGCTTTTTATCCGTCGCACGTTTCATTGCCGGGCTGGAAGTGCGCGACGAATCAGACGAAGAAATCATAATTTTGCGCCGCTGTTGTACAATTTTGTCATGATGCACAGATACATTCTCCTTTGGAATAGGTTTACTTCTTGGTTCGAGATATCTTGATTTTACCTACAAGTTTATATATTATAATATTTATATATATTATAATATTAATGATTTTATTGTAATTTTAATGTTACATTTAATTAACTTGAAATTGATTTTGATAATAAAAATATTAGGGCATCAATAGTCTGATGATGTGATTTTTCTTAACCCCCCCCCCCCACACACACACACACACACACACACATATACGACGTTCATATTGTTTTTATAATTTAAAAGATTATAATTTCAAACACTTTTAGAAATTTCAAACGTACCTCTATTTTGTTAGGCCACGATTTTGGCCTAATGGTTTCAGAGGTAACTTGTTTATCTTCTTGCATTTTACGCTCAAGTGGATCTGTTTTTGGCTTGTACAAAACTTTCTTTGTTTGCTTGGATGATGGTGTTTGCTTTAAGGTTTTGTCGTTGTGCTCAGAAATCGCCATTTTTACACGTTTTAAATCTAAGTTACGGCTTATCATTGAGCGATTAGGCGGCGCGCGAGATTCCTTTGACATACAGAATGATTTTATCAAAAAATAATAATGTGAATATGACATTAATGATATTAAAATACTTCGAGTTAATTCAATTATTTGAATTGCTAATATTATTACAAGCTAGTTCATAATTTCTTTGGGAGTGTTATTAACTTTTGTTGTTATTTTAATTATTTAAAAATTATTAAATATAGACTATTAAAAAGTAATCTATACAAAAATGTGTTAGTTTGTTGAATCTTATAAGATTCTAAATTCTTTTTAAAGAAGAATACTTACTTTTAAAAAGTTTGAATGTCTGGATAAACGCTTGGAAGTCTCGTGAGGCAAGATTACGAGACAAGCTAGCTCTTGTATTCTCCTGCGAAGTTCCAGATCCATTTTCAACCACGTAGTAGTTCTCGCAGCACGTGTGGCATCGCGCACCAAACATTTTTCCACGCGACCTTGAAGCTTATGCAGGAAATCGATGAACAACGGTCCCGGTTTGATTCTACCTTGAAGATCGTCTGTCTGTGACGCGAGTAACATTTTATTTAGTTTCGAATAACTTTTGCACGCTTGCTCGGGCGGCAATTGTTCGACGGCTGTTAAAAAATGATCTTCTAAACGACTGATATTCCACGTTGATTCGCGACCAAGCGATTGAAAATTTTCATTTCCTAAGACACCCGCAAAATTTTCCGATAGAAATTTTACTGATGTCTCTAATAGGTTCGATACCATCCGAAATACTGGCTCTGCCCATCGCACGTTTGGTAAGGTTGCCAATAACTTATCGCAGTCCATCATAGTTTGAAGCACATTGTCGGTAGACTGTAAATTGTATAAAGAAAAAATTGAGTTTAGAGATTGATAAAAGATTAAAATTTATCGTGCTGAGATTGCACAAAATCTTTGTAACCTTAAGAAAATCACAGTTAACTAAAAATATTAACAAAAATATTAACAATTCTTTATTGAATGAACTATTTGATGCGATTCCTATGTCTACATAAATTCATCTCAATCTTCTTTATAAATAAAAGTGTCTGTAAAAGTGGCTTATAAGTTTTTGATTGATTGATTATAAGCTACTTTTAGAGGTGCTTTTATCGATAAAAAGAAGATTCAGAATATGGACTATAGTCGTATTAAGATGAGTATGTCTTCTACTTGTGTACCATGTGTACTATATGCTGATGATAACATTTTTCCATAAGTTCTCTAGGAAGAGTCGCAAATGCTTTGCATGGCCATATTCGTACAAAGTGCTTCGTAATCCATCTAAGTGATCTTCGATACACTTCGTCTAGACCATACGCTGCTGCTAATGGCATACATTCTAACACTCCAACAGCACATATCTGGCATGGCTAAAAGATAATAAAAAAAGAAAATATATAAATCAAGAAAAGATTATATGTTGAGAATCGAATAAATCAATATAAACTTATATGTAACAATGAATTTAAGATTCTTAGTTCTTTATTAGAGAAATAAAAAAATAAGAAAAATATAAATTTTAACTTTATGTACGTACCTTATGAAACAAATGACAATATTTAAGTTTAAGCGTATATCCTATAACTTCCTTGAGACCTTCCAAACACAACATATCAGCTAATGTTGCTAATTCAACGATACTTATAGAATCTGGTATATTACTTTCTCCACTGTAGATATGACACAATGCAAAATGAACTGCATTGTAAGAATATCTAGAATAGAGATATTAAAAATATATGATATTAACATCATTCATGCACATAAAAATGTACACACATACACACATACACACATACACGCGCGCGCGCGCGTATACATATATATATAAAATATATTCGCCAATAATAATTATATAAAATGTTCTCTCTAACTTTTTCAAATATCAATAATAAACATGTCATGCATTTATATTTAACGTACCCTTGTAGAGAAATAACATTGCCTGCACTTTCGATCCATCCGCCGCTTAAAATTGCAGCAAAATATTGGCAACGAGAGCTTAATATACATTTATGTGCTCTTATACGTCGACCGGCCACGTCTATTGTAACATCAGGATTGATTTCTTCTAAAAACATCCTTAATAAATCCTCTCCCAGTCTATTGTGTGGCTTTGCACCAGCTATACTTGATGTTTCAGTTTCCTCCGTGCTACCTTCTACAATTCACAGTTTTAAGAGTTTTATTTTAATATCATTTTAAGTGTAGTTGGAATCTCCTTTCAACATTAAAATTGAAAGACTTTGTCACTATATCTTGTATTTCTTATGATACAAAAACAAAAATTATACGTATGATGAAAATTTTATAATTTGTTTTGCTTATATTCAAATTTATAAATCTCATCAAACGGTATACGTACCCGCTCCGGAACGTCCCATGCTACTTTGCATACTGCTGAGATCAGATTCAGAAATAATTCCTTCCGCTTCACAATCACCAGTCAAATCCTCCAGTGGAGACTTCTGCTTGGATGGAAGCGACGTGCTCATAACAGAAGCGAGTTTCCTGGAGACTGGCTTGGCTGCAGAACCACTGTTTCTCGTCATCACTAGCTTGCTCTCTATCCACGATGTTTCTGGAATACTGCTGCTCATTCGATACGTACTTCTGTCATCCTTCACCATTAAAATATCCGGTGCATGACTGACAGTTGGCGTTTTATCCAAATCTGACAAACGTACGAAACTGAAAGTACTCGTCTTGTCAGAATCTGAATGCAAATTCTTTAAATTACGATCGGGCATCTTTCCGGTTTTCTTTGACGAACGACAATCGTATGTCTGTTTAATGTCGTTATATTCCGGCTCCTTCAATTCGCACTCAATTTTCTTTATTGTTTCGCTTAATGATTTACGAGTTTCTGATATCTTAGTGTTGTTTCCTGCAGCGACTAGTTGCGATCTGTCATTAACATTCGAATTCAGCAAATCGGTTAATCCATAATAATGGTTGTCACTATCCGGGGAAGGTCCGCTGCCGCTACTAATATCAAATGTCTCACTTTTACGAGTGTGACCTTCAGTGCTCTCTGTACATGTCTTTTCCCAAGCGGAGGTCTCCGAGAACTCGTCCTCGTATGCCTTCGTCTCATTGCTTTCCAAATTCTCCACCTGATCGGAAGTTATTTCCTTGTATTCGTGATGATTCACGCTAATACGCAGCTCTTCATTCTCGATTTCCACGTGAGAGTTTGGCGGAGTATCCCTTACGTCAAACTCAAATACATCCTCAGACGATGTGTCCATATTATTCGAGTTATTCTCATGCTCTTGTAACGTCTTGAAATTTTTATGATTGTAAGAATCCGCTTTAGCTGCGTCGCTCAGTGAATGACTGGACGAGCTTGTCTTTGCCTGGGATTGTCTTAAGATACCGCGACTATCTATCGATACGCTATGTGCACGTTTGTGTTCCCGTCTAAACATAAGCTCTTTCGCCACGCAGCCATTACTACTGTTCACCGATTGTGTCTTATCTACATTCCATGAATGTCGTTTGAACGTCGGTCGTGAAGTAGACAGTGTCCGTCTTCTCACAACAGGAGAATCGGATTCTATGAACATGAAAACGCTAGGCTTTGTTTTTTCTTTCTTTTGTTCTTGCGGCAACTGATTATCTCCCGCGGCACTACTGTTATCTTTGGAGCTACTATCATCCGTCTTAATATCCGTTAATTTATTAGGTGCCATTGAAAAGCTTCGTCTATGCGTCGGAGCTACGTCTCGCGTATCGGTCTCACGCATATCATTCAGGTCGATAAACATCGAGAAGATGTTTTTCTTCTCACTTTCGTTAGAAACATCGTTTTTCACGCTCATGTCTGATTTAACGAATGGCTTGATTTTATCACCATTATTCTTTTCAGAGATATCTATGTAAAATTCACAATAAGGTTTGCCGTTACTATCTCTATGTTCCTTCCTCTCAAGTAAGTGATCACGCTTGATGGGTTCAACATCGTTCATATCCTTCAGGTTAACAAAAAAACCTAAACTACCATGTTTTTCATGATTGCTCGACTTGTGCATAGGTCTTCTGACATTTTCCGAAGTGGAAAAGCTTTGCGACATGCTCCGTGAGTTGTTCCGAGATTTGGATTCCTCCTTACAATCACTCATATCGACTACCCAAGCAGTCATGGAGGAAGACATTCTGGAGGACTTGACTTTAATTTCAGGCTTGTTCATAATCACTGAGCCACCTGACACAATTGGCGTGGATTCCGTTTTGCGTCGCACTGTAGGACTGTCCGAGGGCTTTGAATAATCCGAGGTGCTGACACCACCAGAAATAATTGGAGTAGCTTCGTCGCGTTTGTTTCTCTTTACAGGTTCCGCTCGGCTACCTTTCTCTAAGATGGAGTCTAGGGTAATTGGTAAACTACTGCTACAATGATTAGATGTATCCAAATCCTTACCGCAATCTATGATAGACTTATCGCTGGCACTTTTGATGACCGGATAAACCGCGCAAGATTTATCAAGATTGGTTCGTAGATGGTTGTTTTGCGTTTGCGTTTGATTAATTTTGTATTCAGGACTGTCTAATAAGTACGACACCGGATGTTGAGTATTAATCTGAACGTCAGGTGTAAAGGTGATCGACGGTTCGGTAATTGAAGGAACTACAGAATCGGATAGTGCATGGTAAATAGAGTCTCCGTCCACGCGATGTCCGGAGTATTGCGGAATGGCGCTTTGAAAGACGAGGCTACCTTGTCGACGTTCATATTCTTGTCTTAAAACGGATAATTTCTCATCGTTAGAATCAAGCTCGAACGTATTTCTTCTGATGAGCGAAGGTCGTCTGTCCTCATTTGAACTTGTATCTTTCTCGTTTTCATTTCTTGATGCCTCGATGTTGTCCAATATTTCTGTTTTCTCATTTCGGTTGTTGCTCAATTTCGTATTGTTGTCAGGACACGGAGAAGGATGCGCACTCTCCCCACTATCCGCCTCTTTTATCTCTACGATCAACGATTCCTTCTCCGTTGGTTTGCTCGCGATCTTTCCTTCCAATGTAGAATCTACCCGTTTTATTTTATGTGATTCTGAAAATGGTTGCAAATATTCGGTAAGTTTCAATTCTTTTTCAAACTCTGCCACTCGTTTATGGCCGGTTTGTAGTGGTGTCGTCTTAAATGGTGTAAATTTGTACGATGGTTCTTCCGCGATATTATTTGATTTGTTTGTAGTATAATCCGCATAATTTGACGAAAATGTCAAATACGATAGCGACGTACTATCATTGCCATATTGATTTCTTACATTCGTAGACACAATGTCTACTTCATCATTCAAGGTAGAGGCATCGATGAAATAATATCCACTTGTGGAAGAACTATTGTGATTAGTCGCGTTAGCAGAACGAAAATGCTCGGACTCTCTTTCAGCCGTTACGCTTTTCAATTCTTGGGTATCAGATTGTGTTTTCCATTCTAATTTACTTGTCGAAGAGATTTCCTTGTGATCATTACTTGCCGAAGGAATGGGCTCGATAAATTCAAAAGATTCATTTTCATCGCTGCCACAATCTGATTCGTAAAATGGCTCATTTAACATACGATTTTCGTATTGTAAGATCTCTTCGACATTTGACTTTGTTTCCTGAGCGTTGTCTGACGTACTCGTGAGCTGATATTCCATTTCCATTGATGAATATGTTGTGCTACGATCATTCGTTCCGGATTGTGTCGCACTCTTTTCATGGTAATTGCTATTGTTGAGCGACTCGCAATGTTCATCACACAAGAGCATCTTATGATCGCTCCTTTTGCGTATCCGCTCGGCACGTATTCGATCTGAATCATCATCATTAGTAGAAGTATACTCTGCTGTTTGCGTCACCTCCAAATCTGTGCTTGAATTCTCTGATGTGGTATTATCATGTGGGCTTATTGAACCTGTTTCCAAGCCAGAATCAGCCATTTCTGATGCAGCAGGACTAGCATTCGTTACAGCATAATCTTTTACGTCTTGTAGATGATGTTGCGTGTCACAGCTCAATGTCAGACATTTCCTATATTCACATATCCTGTAGATAATACGAATCTATGAAATGTGATAAAGAAGAAATATAAACAAACAAATATATAATTAACCGTAAAGCAAATAGAATTATTGAACAAAAGCTAAATTTTTCACAAACTTTGCTCTAAAATAAAAAATCTAAAATGTGTTTTTAATAAATCTAACCTGCCATCGACTTGAGATATATTGGTATCAAATTTATTTAAAAAATAACATTTACAATTTGTATTCAGAATTATTTTCACCAACAATTGCTCTTCTCGAGATAAGTCCAAATTACTGTACAGAAGCCTGTAATTCATAAACAATTTGTAATATTAATATAGCATGAGCTAAATGATATATATGAGAGTAGTATAGCACATAGTAATAAAGTTACATTAATATAATTAAAAGAAAATTCAATTAATAGATATCAATCTGATTAATATAACAGAGAGATTTATCAGCATGCTTAATGGCAAAAGATACGTACAATGACAAATTCATATTTTCATGTTTATGATCAATGCGTAACAAAATCTTTCACAATGTAAAATTTGTTGCAACATATCTTTTTGTGTTTCTTTCAATAGAAACTTTAATACAAATACTATATCAAAATATTTATCCCTGTGTAGTTTAAGATAAAAAGCATGCAAATTATATATTTTAACCATATCATTTAAAACAAAAAAATTATATGAAATACATTGTATAAAGACATGCTGAATAATATCATAAATGAAAGAGAAATACATTTCTTCTTAATTATATCGTTCCTATATACAGATAATCAATATAGTGATACCTCACAAAATTTGCAATCTGATGGAAAAGCCCAGCTTTGTCAAGAATGCAATGGACTATTTTGTTAATATAAATAAAATAAGGTTTGAGGACTTTGTACAAATGTGGCGATCTTGTTCTAACAATGCACTCGTTTATACGTATTATTTTATAACCATGTATTATATTAAGATCACAATGCAAGGAATCCGTAAATATTCTACAATAAAAGATAATCCTTGAGTTTTGCATTATTCCCTCCAATGCTCTTGATTTTATCTTAAGATATAAAATGAATTTTATTTCACATATATAAAATGGCTAAAAAGATTACATCAACATAAAAAATATATACAAGATAAAATTGTGCAAAAGAGGATCTCAACTGAACTAATTAAAGTAGTATGCATGTGTATGTGTAAAATTTCAAATCAGTTTATATATCAGTATATAGCATAATCTAATATACTAATTTGTCTTCCAAATTTTTAATATAGATGTTTTGAATTACACGCCTTGTGACATATATGTCACATATTAAAACTTGCCAAAATAAAAAATGTTTTCTTACCTCAGAATACTATTTTGTAATTGGTTGATATTTTTGACAATAGTGCGATATTGTTCCGCACTGTTCCGTTTTTTGAATTCATAACTTGGAGAAAACTCAAGCGTTCCAGAGGAATCAAGATTATTGTGGCACAGCCACTGAGACGTTTCGTCTAAATTTCCATTTTGTTTGCTGTTGTTCTTGCCTCCAGCCATGAGGCATGTTTACTGTCTCATATTTGCCTACCTTTAATACAAGATGTCTTTTATATTTGCATATTTTATTAATGATATATACCGATGCTACACAGATAAATATTATAAAACTTTTGTATTTTGATTGATTATAAAACTTTTGTATTTGTATTGATTAAAAGGTGAGAAAACTATTTTGCATGAACTAATTATTAAAAAATTAAACTTTAGAAAAACATATTCACACATATACAAATAATTTCATCTTACGCTTTCATGCAAAAAATTGCCCTGAATAATCCAGAAGAATGTTTGTGTAAAAAAATAATTTAACTTCACGTGGAAAAATAAAGATGATCTCGATACCATTTCGGCCAACACTTTAGACAAAATTGATTTTGATCAAGTCATTTGCCCTTCGAGAATCTTTTGTGATTGTCATGAGTGCATGAGTGAATAGAGAGAGAGAGAGAGAGAGAGAGAGAGAGAGAGAGAGAGAGAGAGAGAGAGAGAGAGAGAGAGAGAGAGAGAGAG